TTATTCCTTTCTGGAACCATTTTAAAGCTAATTTCTCCTTTTTTGGGTCCCGTTTGGGTAACAAAGGCCTCAGGTTCAACCCCTAGCATCTCCAGTTAAAATGACCAGGAAGGAGATGATGTGAAAGACCTCTAGCGGAGACCTCTATCTGCTGCCAGTCAGAGTAGACAATGCTGACTCTGATGGACCAATAGTCTGACTCAGCATAAAGCTGTTCAGAGATTTGACTATATAATTGCAATCGAATCCTTTGTCAAGTCTACTTAATGGGGCTTATCCCCAGGACAGTGACTTTAGAATTGCACTGTCAGACACCATGCTATCTGTTAGAATTACTTGGCTGCATACAGGAGTCACAAGGATGGTGAGTTGTGTGCAATGGTGAACTAGGATGATTGTCATCCCCCCCACACACAGTTCCCCTTGCTAGAAACCAGATGCAAAAAAAAAAAGTGAAAGGGGAGAAGGGAGAAAATTACCTGACTTGGTTACCACACCATCTGCCATACTTTTTTCAAAAAAAACTGCTGAACAATTCTCAGATCTCTTTATAGGGCAGCAAACCATCTGTTTAGATTAGGATTTGGCAGGTGCAACCTACCTATGTTCACGCAATCCACAATTCAACTTACTTTCAGGACTGTTTGAAATCACCTTAGAACTTTTTCTTTTTTTATCTCCCTGCTTGTCACTCATATTCCCAAATGCTTTTTCCCCCCAGTCAGTGGCAGTTGTACCACAACAGTAGCCCAAACACATACAGGTGACTGTGGAAACCTCATGACACCGTAGGGAGCAAATAAGATGGGCAAACAACTGCTGCAATATCTCCAATATTCCCACAACATGGGAGAAGCTAGCTTTGTGATTCAAATCAATGATGATGATGACGATGATGATGATAATTTATGACTCTCTGGACCCCAATTTTCCTCCTTATTCACATAGTTCCAGTGGGGCCAGTTCATATATTACGAAGTACTTGTCACTATCGTTAGGAATATGGATCAGGTGTGTACTCTAAATTCATGTTTCTTATGTGTGTATCAGCCCAATTAAGATTGGAATCATACATGGGAAAAGGGGGCTTAAATACTCCCCACTCCATTTTTTTTAACTGAAGCGACTATTTGCCTCACAGGGAAAACCTGCACATACTGACAACTGCATGTAAGTTTACACAGTGGAGTAAACAGTAACTCCCTGGGGCCAGTTCAGGTCACAAAAACAGCATGCAGTTGGAGGCTTAACTCCCTCTCTCCCTGCGGTCCAGATCTGAATCATTCCTTTACACACCTGAGAACTACAGAACGCCCAGAATTCATCTGACCCAAAGTCCTCATGGACTTTGTAGTGTTTGAATTGTCCCTTAAATCTTCAGACTAATTGTGAAAACAATCCAGAGAAAGTTATATATACACATCTTGATTACTTACAGCCTTGCAGCTCAGTTCTCATCATGTTTATTCAGAGCTAACTCTCACTGGGTTCCATGAGGCTTGGTTCCTAATTAATGTGCCTGGGATTGCAGCCTTTATGTTCTTCTGATGGAACCCAAAGAGTGTTTTGGGGAGTGTGTTGTGAAGAAGGTGCCGTCAAGTCACAACAGACTCATGGCAACCCCTACCATGGGGCATTCAAGGCAAGAACAGCATTGCCTCCCTCTGCATAGCAACTCCAATTTTCCCTGGTGGTCTCCCATCCAAGTACTGATCATCACCAACCCTGCTTAGCTACCAAACTCTGACAAGCTCAGGCTAATCAGACTGCAGCATGTTGTAAACACAAATACAAACCACTTTTTGTAGTGGTAGTATTTGCCACTCTCTTGATCCTTGGCTTGCCTGGATTGTATTTCCAACTTATTTGCCAAAATAGGGTGAAGGAGCATCTAATGAAATGTCATTATCCAAGGGTGTTTTTCCAATGGCATTAAAGGAGGCACTGATAAGGAAGGCACTCTATTAAGGAAGCCTTTTTAGATCAAAAAATTGTGACCACAAATAGGTAGACTTCAAACCTGTCTTTGGGGGGTAAGGAGGTTATAAAGAACGGTGGCAGAGGAATAGTAGGGCTCCCTGGATTAATCATTTGGCCTCAGCCCATTCCATTCTGGCTTCAGGCCTGGTTAAGGACTGCAGACTGCTTTGGTGGTCAATCGCTGTTTACAAGAGTAGGGGTAGGCAAGTATTTCAGATGCCATTACTGAGGCCTGGTTGACACTCATAAACAGTCCAAGCTTCCTTTCAGCCTCTCTTTGCTGACTAAGTATTCCCCACCCTTGTACCAGAGCTCACACCACAGAGCCTTTAAAATAAAGAAGGGCAGGAACAAAAGAAGAAAAGCAGCATGGTCACAGAATACTGATTCTGAATCCTCTACCACAGTCTTTTGCCTATAACAAGATAGAAAAGACATAAACCATTCCAGTGCTGTTTCTGTTACCACTACATCAATTTTGAAGAGTTTCAATGGAATCAGGTAGTCTGCCCTGTCAATGGCAGCAGCGTTGACAGACAGCAGCAAAGAGGAATACCCTGTATCGCAACCTTCCCTTGCAACATGCAATCAATAGAAAGTGTTGGTTCTGTTCCAGGTCAAACTCTGCATGCCTGCAGCAACAGCAAGACTTAGCATCCACTGCTGACTGCACACATGCTCTATGATCTTCAGCAGGTGCTTCAGGGAGGGTTGCTGTCCCCAAGGGCAGAAAATGTAAAAAAACCTTCCACTTAAAGAATCATTTATTTCTCTTTCTCGATGTTGCACTACGCCCATCAAAAAGCAACCCAGAACATATCTCTGAAAATGCCAGTGCTGTAAATACTTTAGAGAGGTGACATGGCAGCATAAGCTTGTAATGCTGGCAAAAATAAATGCTTACAGATTTAATAATAGCACAGTTGGATACTATACTGACATTTATCCAAAGAAATTCTTGTGGTCAAAGATTCTGCTTTATCTGAAGCACCCCCTCATTCAAAATATTGATTCCTATGGTACTTTGTCAGCCCTGGTTAGTATTTGAATGAGAGACCTCTATGGAATACCAGGGTGGCTACATGGAGGCAGGTAATGGCAAACCACCTCTGAACGTCTCTTGCCTTGAAAACTCTACAGGATCGCCCTAAGTCAGATGTGACTTGACAGCAACCCGCACAGTTGGATACTACTATACTGACATTTATCCGAAGAAATTCTTGTGGTCAAAAGATTCTGCTTTATCTGAAGCATCCCCTCATTCAAAATATTGATTCCTATAGTACTTTGTCAGCCCTGGTTAGTATTTGAATGAGAGACCTCTATGGAATACCAGGGTGGCTACATGGAGGCAGGTAATGGCAAACCACCTCTGAACGTCTCTTGCCTTGAAAACTCTACAGGGTCACCATAAGTAGGGTTGCCAAATGTTTTTTGGCCGGGAGCGGGGGGCTCCCGGCCGGCGCCTTAGGCGTGTGCATCCCCCGGCAGTGACATTGCACACTCTTTGTTTTCCCCTCAAATGGCGTGGCCCCGCCCCCAGCATGTGACGTCACTTCCGGGTGACGCGCACACGGGGGTGGGGTTTCCCCCGGGCCCCGATTCCGTGGGAGCGGAAATCGGGGCTCGAAAGCGGGGGGAATTCTGCCCCCCTGGGGCATTTGGCAGCCCTAACCATAAGTCTGTTGTGACTTGACAGCAAAAAAAAAAAACCTTTACTTAAGTAAATATTAAAGAAAGTGTAACAGTCTTTTTAAAGAGATCAATATAACAAGTTCTCAGTAGCACAAAAAGGAAAAGAAACATATCTGACCAATTTCTGCGGGTGAAAACAGTAAGCATGCTTTCAATCACACAGAAAACTTAAGCAGAATGTAGAATATTTTACTCCTCAACAGTATAATGTTGCTGACTGATACAAATGAGAATTTGTGATTACCCGAATAAATAAAATAAAAACAAAAAAAACACTGACATCTTTATAATACATGCACAGACATACAGAACACAGTATCAAGCAGATACATAGTTCCCACTTGCAGAATGCACATTATTTACCTATGCAAAGGTTTCAATTACTTCAGGTAAATAAGGGCACAATTCATAGAAATATAGGTTGGATCTTTTCCAACTTATGCTTTTAAATTTCACACCACATCCTGATTACACCACATCCTGAGCAGAAAGGTGTTGTGAACAAGATACCATTAAATGGTTTAATAAAACAAACCACAAAAATATTTTAAATTAAGCTTCCAGATTTAATTTAAGGTGATAAAAGTCTGAATTTGACATTTAAAGCCCTTTATGATCTGGGTCCCTAATACTTAAAGGACCGTGTCTCCCCATACAAGCCTGGATGGACCTTAATATCCTCACAAGGTTTGCTCCCTTTTCTCTCTATAAAGGAGATGAGATCTCTGGTCACCTCGGCAAAAATGTTTTCTATGGCAGGCCCATCCTAATGGTCTTTAATTGTGTTTATGTATGTTTTAATATGTGAGGTTTCTGGTCAGCTTTAATTTGCTCGTTTTATTGTAAACCACTTTGAGCAATAAGGAAAAGTGGTATAGAAAAATAGTAAATAAATAAGAATTTGTTAGGGGAGAACAAATCACTAGCCATTCTGAATTGGGGGGGGATATTTTCTTGAGTCCAAATGTAGTGATATTTTGAATGGTAATCACGAACCAAAACTAAAAGTTCTTGCTAGCCCTCTGGAGTATTTGAATGACCCAATATCATATTATCAGTAATGGTCAAGGAAAATAGTAGAAGGGGGGAAGACCTGCAGTGACACTAGCAATTCTTGTTCTCTTGGACCAACACAGCATTAATTAATGCCCTGTATTAGAGATCATAACAGGGAGCACTTTAGAGGTGGGATCTTAATGTCCAAGTATAATATAAGCATGTGTTTGCACAGTTGTAAAACACATGATATAACAGAATTCATGTGACCACGTGCAGAATTCTTCCTCATCACAAACAGTCCTACACATATCTATGATTAGAAGAAAGAACTTCCAGGTCAGGACAGTTCAAGAAGACAACTGGCTATCACAACATTAATGATTTACAAAGCATGTCCTGCCTTGCCTTTTGCATACTTATCCCAAACAAAGTCACACTATATTCAGTACAACTGGTAGTCTTCAAAGTGCCACGAGACTGGTTTTCATATTCAGTTGAGTTTTCTTCCAGATAAGCTGGCAATCTTCAGCCCATCCTAGAGTATTTTCTAATGATATTATACAACTTATCTTAACCCTGCTATTCCTTTTGTATGCATATGTGAACACTGTTAACATCAGACAGAACAATTTTAAAATATGGTTATTAGAATGACAAAGAACATAAAATCTGATTTAAGCATACCTCGAGATGGGGGGGGGGAGCAGACTAATTTACTAAGGAATTAACATTTCCAGATGGGTAGCTGTGTGTGTCTGTAGCAGCAAAATAAATCAGGTACCTTTAAGACTAACAGAATTTATTCCAGCATAAGCTTTCATGAGTGGGGGGGGGGGGGAGTTTGTGTGGCTCATAAAAACATTGACCTATAGCACATGGATGTGATAAAGTGAATTCTGATTCACCAAAGTATATGTAGGAATAAGTTGTTAATCCTCAAAGTGTCACTGGACTCCTAAGGAATGAGCAGGAATTCACCCTCAGGACATGCATGGACACCTTCCTAGACCCCCCTCCCTTTTTTTTCTCATTCAGCACTTGTCCATTACTGATTGTAAAAGGCATAACTTCCCACCTAATGTCATGATGCAAACACACACCAGGCGACTGAAAACCCCTGTCAAAACTGCATTTAACCAAGGGCAAGGGCTGAGCTTGCCATGGCCACATAAAAGCATGATTGAGGAAATCCCCTCTTTTTAGCAACCTTCCTCAGATCCCCCAGTAGAACAAGAGGAGCCAGCAGGCTGGGGCAAGCCTTCCAAGAGGACCTACGAGCTCCCACTCCAAGTCCTGCCTCGGTCTGTCCCCTGAAAAGACTACCAGGGAGGCAAAGAGACGCGCCTAGCAGCTGGGCTGGTGACTGCAGGAAGCTGCCCGCCTCAGCGGCTGTTCCGTCAACCCTCCCTCGGCCCCTGGGGTGGCCCCGCGTCCTTCTCAGCCCCTGTCCCATCCGCAGCGGCGGGAGGGGAGGCCTCCGGCGCAGAACAGCCACGGCTGGGATCGTCGCGCCTCAGCTCTCGCCCCGCCAGGCCTCAGCCCGCCCGATTACCCGATATATACCTTCCAGCGCTTCGAATATCGCCTGCGCCATCTTGAAGCCGAGGCGGCCGCGGCGGAGTAACCTAAACGGGCATTGTGGGAAGGGAGGCTGGCTCGGCCGCCAGGGGGAGCTCGCGACGGCGAGTTGGGGAGGAGAGGCCGGCTGAGGGAAGAGCCTCTCTGAGGGAAATGTATGTGGCTGAGTGAAGCGCTCGGGGAGGCGGGCGTGTCGTGCTTGTAGGAAAGCGTGATCGGTACCGGGTTTTATTTGTCCCAGACGCGATCTTTAATACGCGGGCACAGTAGAAAAGAGCAGGAGTCCAGTAGCACAAAATTTGTGGCAGGCTTTCCTGAGTCACTGCTCGCGGTTCTGGAAAGATCGCTTTTCTTTCCAACGAGGCTTTGAAGTCTGCCTGGCAGGCAGAAGTTCCACAGGCAGATACTCCTTTGGGGGTCGATTTTTATTTACTATTTCGTTTAATTACTCTGCAAAGGTATGAGATGGTTTTAGACCGTTTCCCCACAAAGCAAATACAGACAGACGCACACTGCACGGAACCCCGTACAGTGGTTCAGAAATGCTGGCATATGTGTGAACTGGAGCTGGCTCTAAGGAGGCTGGGTTCAGTCGTACATCCCACAAATAAAAATGTAAGCGTGGTGGGATTGCAAATTAAAGCTATTTAAGGATTAAAGGTTAGCGGATCTCAAGAGCTTTGCCATTAGTCTGACTGTAAGAAACAAAGGCAGGCTGCTGGTGATGAGGGAGTAAATCTCATTGGGTTCAATGGAACTTATTTGTGAATAAACTCAGGGCAAGGGGAGCAAGTACTGCTTTCATGCAGATGAGGTTCTGTGCGGGGCTCATAGCCTTTATAAATTGCTTACCACAGGTGTGATGATGTGACAGAACATACCTATGTGTGTGTGTGATGTGCTCTCAAGTCGCTTCTGAATTATGGCAACCCTATGAATTAATGACCTCCAAAATTACCTATCATGAACAATAGTGCTCAGATCTTGCAAAGTAAAGGCTGTGGCTTCTTTTGTTGAAGAGAAGTCACTCCATCTCATGTTGGGTCTTCCTCTTTTCCTACTGCCTTCAGCTTTTCCTAGAAATATTGTCTTTTCCAGTTTGTTCTGTCCTCCCATTATGTGATCAAATGATGACCTCCGTTTAGTCATTTTAGGTTCTAGGGAGAGTTCAGGTTTGATTTCATCTAGATCCCACTTATATGTCTTTTTGGCAGTCCATGGTATCTGTAAAACAACATCACATTTTGATTGAATCAGTTTCCTTCCTGGCAACTTTCTTCAGCTTTCACAATCATGCATAGTAATGGGGAATAAGGTTTCCCTTGCTCAAAAGCCAGTCGAATCCGACTCTAGGGATGTGGTGCTCATCCTCGTTTCCAAGTCGAAGAGCCAGCTCTGCCCAAAGATGTTTCTGTGGTCATGTGTACGGCATGACTAAACACGAAGGCACATGGAACGCTGTTACCTTCCCACTGAAGCGGTACCTATTTATCTACTTGCAATTTCTTGCTTTCAAACTGCTAGGTTGGCAGGAGCTGGGACCAGAGACAGGAGCTCACTCCGTCATGCGGCACTCGGCTCTCGAACTGCTGCACTATTGACCTTCCGGTCTGCAGTTCAACATTTTAACCACTGAGCCACACTTCATTACACCTAAGGATCTTTTTTAGTTCCTTCATGGCTACACTGTCCAGTCTCAGTCTTTTGTTGCTTTCTTAGTTTTAGTCTCCATTTTGATTGAGGACTGAGCCAAGGAATGGAAAATCTCTGACAATTTCAGTTTCTTCATTGTCAACCTAGCACCCACTGGAAACATGTAGTGCTAGTGTATATTGTGTGAATTAGTACAAATCTTTTGCATCTCGACTACAACATTCTGTGATGCTTTTTCATGCAAGAATCTGATCTTCCTGGATTACACATAAAATTTTCACATCATCTCACTTTTCAGAAACAATTCTTCCTTAGTGGAGAAAGTAAAAAAAATCTTGATACCAATCAAGACTCCATTAATCTGGAGTTACCAGTTACTTTCTTGCATTTCTGTTTCTTTGGGATGGTGCTGATTGCTGCCTCCTGTACAATGTCACACAAACCTCCGCCCATAGTTCTTCAGACACTCTATCAATCTAGTCCCTTAAACCGGTTCTTCATCTCCCCTGTATATTCATCAGGGATGTGATCTAGGTCAAACCTGAATGGCCTAGTGGTTTTCCCAACTTTCTTCAGTTTAAGTCTGAATTTTGCAATGAGCAGCTCATGATCTGAGCCAGTCAGCTCCAGGTCTTGTTTTTACTGACTGTATAGAGCTTCTCCATCTTTGACTGCAAATGATATAATCAATCCGATTTCAGTGTTGCCCATCTGGTGATGTCCATGTGTAGAGTCGCCTCTTAGGTTGTTGGAAGAGGGTGTTCGCTATGACTAGTGTATTCTCTTGACAAAACTCTGTTAGCCTTTATTTTGTTCTCCAAGGCCAAACTTGTCTGTTATTCCAGTTATCTTTTGACTTCCTGCTTTAGCATCCCAGTCCCCTATGTTGATAAGGACATCTTTTTTTGGTGTTAGTTCTAGGAGGTGTTGTAGGTCTTCATAGAACCAGTCCACTTCAGGCTTTTCTACCTCAGTAGCTGGGGCACAGACTTGGATTACGCTGGCGTGAGGAGTGGTTTTGCCTCCACAAGGGACCAAGAGGCGCTCCTTAAAGAGGCACAGCCGCCCCCGCCCCACCCGCCGGTTCTCCCACGAAACCTTTCCCGGCCTCCTGCCGATTTCCCCAGCGCCTCTGAGTTCCTAAGGGCAAATTGCGCTCCTCGCGCCTCGTCTCCCAGCGGCAAGTTTCCTCTGAGTTCCTAAGGGCAAATTGCGCTCCTTGCCGCTGGGAGAAGAGGCGCAAGGAGTGGTTTTGCCTCCAGAAGGGACCAAGAGGCGCTCCTTAAAGAGGCACAGCTGTCCCCCCCCCGCCGCCGCCGCCGCCGGTTTTCCCGCGAAACCTTTCCCGGCCTCCTACCGGCTTCCCCAGTCGCCTCTGAGTTCCTAAGGGCAAACTGTGCCTCCTCGTCCCCCAGCGGCTTTGCCAGCGAAAGTGGTTTTGCCTCCAGAAGGGACCAAGAGGCGCTCCATAGAGAGGCACAGCTGCCTGTGCCGGTTTTCCGCGAAACCTTTCCCGGCCTCCTGCCGGCTTCCCCAAGCGCCTCTGAGTTCCTAAGGGCAAACTGCGCTCCTCGCGCCTCGTCTCCCAGCGGCTTTGCCAGCGAAAGTGGTTTTGCCTCCAGAAGGGACCAAGAGGCGCTCCTTAAAGAGGCACACACACCCCGCCCGCCTCCCACGGGTTCTCCCGCGAAAGCTTCCCCGGCCTCCTTCGAGCAGGAGCGGAACTGTTTTACCGGGAATCGCTTTCCACGCGGAAGCGATTTCTCCGCGCTCCATTTCCCTGTATTGTGTTCTCTAACCAAATCGTCTCTGCTGGCTGGGTCTGGAGTCTGGACTGTCACTGTGTAGCTATGGCCCCTGAAGCGATGTTGAAGACCTTGCTCTACACCGTCAATTCCTTGTTGCAGCAGCAGAAATACAGGGCTGCCCTGGCCGTCGCCAAGGGCTTCCGTAACGGAGCCGTGTAAGTCGGACCGGGGTCGAGGGGGGCTCTGCCTCGCCCATCTGCATCCCCACCCTATCCCTTCCCTGCTTGGAGGCTTGCTTCCTAGCCGTCAAGGCGGGGGTTGAGTTAGCTGGTGTGGGCGGGAGCGGAGAGAGAAGATGCCTTTCCTGCTCGGCGCTTGGGTGGGGTGGTGGGATCAGGCTTCCGCATGTGGTAGCACAGCAGTCCAAGGCCATTCTTTAGGATTGTACTGCAAGACAGGGCATAGGGTCGTTCAGATCTCTTTCTTTGGGCGAAAGTGACGGTCAGGTGCCGTGTTGGCCAGTCAGGGTATTCTGCTGCACAGTGGACAAACTGAACTGGTTCTGATGGCCACAGTAATTTCTAATAGTGGACGGTCCAAAAGCTAGCAGGGATGTTTATTCATCTTTAAAGGACTTGTTTGTTGATGATCAGCTACTGTTCTTTGGAAGTTCTCTGCTTGCGCTGTGCTTGAGTTATGACTAAACTTATGGATCTTTAAAAATATATGCCAATAAACAGGTGCTGATGTATTTCAGAGAGTGATGAATCCTCCTTCAACTGACTTTTTGGAATCGGGAAATAGAATGTGGATTTGGCTAGTGCATTCTGATTGGCAGACAGAAATGAAAGGAAAACCCAGCATCAGTTGTGGGCTTTTTTTAGTGCCCAGGCATGGAGCCTCAGTTTCATTTGTGATAACTTAAATTGCACTGGTAACTGAACTGTGTTGCTTTCACCCTTAATAAGTGACATGTCTAAAATCTGTCAATTTTAAATAGGCTGGCACAGGTTGGCTTTGTTCCTTTCATGGGGGCTGCTGCATGCAGGGCAAACTAGTTAGGTTGTATAGTCTGTATGCTCCACCCCCACATGTGGTGAGAGGTATGCTCCACCCCCACAAGGTGAGAGGTAATACTTGAGAGAGTATTGTGCTCTATAAGCCAAAGGCTGCAGTCTGCTTGGCTGCTTCATGGCTAATAAGATAAACGAGTCAAGCACTGGATTCAAAGATAGCTGTATGCATGTGTTTTATTATTTTGTTTCTTTTTCTGTGACAGGTATGGAGCAAAAATTCGTGCCCCCCATGCTTTGGTGATGACTTTTCTGTTCAAGAGTGGAAGGTACATTTTTAGGCACCTCTCTTTCTCAGCTACTTATACCACTATTTTATAAAGTCATGAGATTACATAAATTCCAGCTCTTGCTCTCTTTAAAAAGCTGTGTGAGCATATAAGACCTGCTGCTTCCACACAGTGACTATTTTCTGCGTAGTTTTCATTATTGCTGCAAATGCAGAGGCATTCACAGTGGCAACAAAGCATCCACATGGACGTTTTCCTTGTACTTTCATTGCCTCTTCCCTCCATGGATGTCAGCTGCATAAAAAGAGTTAAAATCTCCCCCAAACTGTTAAAGCAAGACAACTAATAAAGCAGCCCCCAAGGTTTTATCTAAAAGCTTGGGGAAATAAAAGCATTTCACATGGTTTGTAATTTTGGCATGAGGAGCGTATCTCTGAAGAGGGAGTTCCACAGTCTTAGTGCCACTGCAAGACGGACCTGTTTCTGATGCAAACTCACTTTGCTTTAATCAGAGCTGGGGTGGGTGGAATGAAGCATAACCTCTGACGATGACCTTAACAAGCAGGCAGGTTCATATAGGAGAAGGTGATAGTTATAGATCCAGGTGGGCAGCTGTGTTGGTCTGAAGCAGTAGAATAAATTTGGAGTCCAGTGGCACCTTTAAGACCTACAAAGGTTTATTCAAGGTATGAGCTTTCGTGTGCATGCACACAGTGTCTGCTGACATAAGAGGGGGATGTAGTGTTAAGTGCCCTCCATGCCTGAGAGGAGAGAATGAAGAGTCCCAGTCACTTCCCACAATTAGAAAAGACACCTTTAGACATTTATCTGCTAGTTTGACATATTTATTGCTTTACAACTCTCGACTTTATAACCTTAACTTGTTATTTAGTGTCACTTTGCATATCTTGAACATCATCATGTTGCATTTTAATTTGCTGTTCATTCTCTGGTGATAGCTATAGTTACATTTGTATATAGAATGGTATGTTGATATTCTAGTGCCAATTTAAAAAAAAAATTGAAAAGGTCTTGGTGGCCAAGGGGAGGGGGGGTGGCACTATTGGGGGACTGGGCCAGGGAAACTGCAGGGAAACCTACCACATGTAAGCCCCATTGCCACTGCACTCAATCTGCAGCCATGCCAGCACTGGGAGAAATCACAAAATCCTGTCCCCGGTTGAAAAACACCAGGGTCTCTGTAACTTGTATTGTACTTGCTAGCTGTCCTTCCCAATGTATTTTGAACTAGCTAAACTTTCTGAACCCTCTTCCAGAACAGCCCCACCTGCAGCATGTTGCAACAGGCCTATCTGAATGCAAGCAGAGCATGGATAGATATGAATTCTCACTGATTTCTTGAAGTGGATTATAGGCAGTGACTTGGCAATCCGTTTTTGACTGAACATGTTTTTTTTTGGGGGGGGGGTTATCTGCAATAACTGTTTTTCATTTTCTTTCTTCAGCTTAAGGGAGAAATTCAAAGCAATTGCCCAGGCAACGTACACACATTCTAGAAACCTGGCATATTTTGTATTCACATACAAGGGACTGAGGGCCTTACAGTCCCAAATACAGGGAAAAAAGATCCCATTTCACTCTACTCTTTCCTTGCAGCCTGTATTGGGGGCTGGTTAGTGTTTGGGGAAAATAATAATATCAACAGTCAGGTAAGCAACAAAGTCAGTGTTCAGACTGATCTGGATTTGTACCAGTGATATACATAAAGAATGTGAAGTAATGACAGTCATGCATGTTGCTCCATAGTGGTTCTCATTTGTTGGCTTTCTGTATAGGCAAAACTCTTGGGAGCACCAATTTTAGCTACAGACCAGTTCTTCTATAACTTCTACTCAATGAGGTGCCCCAGAGAATGATGAGAGGAAAAGAATAGTATTATGACAGTACAGAGTTTTCTGGACTCTTCATTGTGGCCACTCTCTGTGTTCCTTAAAACAGGTGAGGGAGCCCGTGCATTCTCTGTGGTTCATGCAATAAGCCCTATGCTGATTCATCTGAGTACATCCTGTAGAAATGCCCACTGTAAAAAAGATAGCATGATGAGGAATAGTGCTGAGTCAAATGAGATCAGAATTAAATAAGTCAAATAAAGACCAAAATGTTAAGGTTTGGTCTGACTATAAAACACAGCTTAGCCAGTAATGTGATATTGATTCTTTACCAGTCATAGGCCAATGAAACTGTATGAAGTATTTCTATTATTTCTTTCAGTCTTGCTTCCCATTTATTTCATTGGACGATCTCAAATTTGTGTTTTTGTATTAATCAGAATACTCTCCAGGATCTAAATTGCTCACAATTAAAAACAAAACAGTTATTTGTAATGAGGATGATAGTGAGGTATGCGATAGTTTCATGGAATCAGATAAATATGGCAGGAAGAGCATTCTTTTATAGCAGAGTTTATGCACTGAATGAATTCTACTTTTTGACCAGAGTCCCCAAAGTGGCTCTCAGTGGGTAGTATCCTACTATATGTGTGCAGTAAGTGCACAGATTGCCCACATTGTCCTCCATCATTGCAGCTTTCTCTGGCCCCCAGAAAGATCATTCCCAAGATCACAGGATTTGTGCAAAGGAAAAACCATGACGGTTGGTGGGCTGTGGCAAGGAGCCAGTGGGGCGTAGTGGTAAAGAGCAGCAGACTCCCATGAAGCCCTCTGGGTGACCTCGGTCCAGTCACGGTTCTCTCAGAACTCTCCCAGCTCCACCTATCTCACAAGGTGCCTGTTGTGGGGAGAGGAAAGGAAGGAGACTGTAAGCTGCTTTGAGACTCCTAGAGGAAAGTGGGGTGTAAAAACCAACTCTTCTTTTTCTGTAGAGGAACAAGGAGTTGAAATTGCTCTCTCTGCTAAACTGCACATGCCGATTGGGAAGGAGGGATGACTTCAACGCCTTGTCCCTCCACACTCCAGCCCACACAACCCTTGCAGCTTGTCCTCCATGTAGGTCCCATGACCCTGGGACTGATCCCTAAAGGAATCAGAGAGCATTGCAAGAATGTAGGGGCTACACCTTCCACACATTGTAAAATGCAACACTTCTTTTTTTTAAAAAAGAACACCTTTCAGTAAAACACAATCCATAGCATACACGGACCTGTGATAAGAGACACAGTTGGGGAACAGAGAGAACAGATTGAAAAGCAGAATTTTAAAATTCTGATTTCATAGACAAAACATACGTAAACCAACCTGTCCCTTCCTCAACAAATGCTTTTTACCAATGTAATAACTGAGGGGAAATATGGAAGGGCTCGGGTTGAGTGGAACCAGGAACAGCCTGGAGGACTCCAAATGTGGCTTGACTGTTCTTTGTGAGTGCCTTTACTGTCAATATGGTAAAGCAGCATTTGAGAGGAAGTTGCTCACATAGCTATTGAAGGAAGTGTATTTTGTAACAGATGCAGCCTGTAGCTCAGCCCTCTTAAAATGCAAGTAGTGCAGCTGAAAGCGTACAAAATCATCCCATTATGAAAAGCCCTCTCAATCCTTTTTTTTTTCCTTTTTTTTCTCAGTCCTAAAACTCTTTCCTCAGAGTAAGCCTCATGGAATAAAATGGGACTTATATCTCAGTAGGCTTGTTTAGGATTCCTCCCACAGTGATCTCTCTTTAAGATGAGGACTGGTTGAAATAATTATTTCGGAATATGTTTCTTGCCTAATATGACTTCAACTCTTCCTCCATTTAGATAAACATGTACCTGTTGTCTCGTATCCTGTTTGGCCTGTCCCGACTGGCAGTGGAGAAAGGTTACATCCCAGAGCCAAAACAAGATCCCTTCCCACTCTTTGCTGCCTTGGTTTGGGGCATTGTTCTGTGGCTCTTTGAGTATCACCGCCACACTCTACAGCCCTCTCTGCAGTCCTCCATGACCTACCTATATGATGACAGTAATGTCTGGCATGATGTTTCTGACTTTCTTATATATAACAAAAGACCTGCTAGCAAGTAGTCTTTGCAATATGGCACATTCCAGCAGCACTGCTTATTTTTTTTTCCCCTGAAAACACTTGACTAAAAACTTATGGTTGTTAATATTGTGTATAAATCTGTCCTTCTGTTCCGGCCTAAATATTCTGTGTAATCTGGTGTTCTTTGTGGGATAAATGTTAAGAAAGCCCATCTTGCAACCTGGCATGTTGCAGTTTCTTATAAGGTCCCTATTTTCTGCAAGGGGACTTTTCCACACTAACAGCTGTGGAATTTTTGAGGGATGGGAAAACAAGTTGTAAATTCACTGACCTGAAAAAGTTCACACAAACTGGAAGAAAATAGTGGATATAGTTTATATAACACAGTGAAAATATTTTGTATAATGTTGAAATACTCAATGATGTATTTAACACTCTGAATACATTTATATGCAATAGTACCATCACTGTGTCCTTTATCAACAACCGAGGAAATTGGTTAGATCTCTTCAAGGCATGTTGAAGCTTAAGTTCTGAACATTTGTGTGCAAGTCTCATACTTAGAGACATCTTTCAAGATAGTCTTTGTAATATTCATGGACTTATCGATTCCCCTTAACAATATAATGCTACTAAATGGGTATTTGGCAAATGGAGGGATCTTAACATTTAAAAACTAAGCTAACAGAGAAAAGTTTAGATAGGAACTCTCAGTCTGGGGCAAGTGATGCACTGTATTCTTGGTGCCGGGGGTGGTGGGGCAACACTGGGAGGGCTTCTAGTGTCCTGGCCCCACTGCTGGACCTCCTGATGGCACCTGGTATTTTTGGCCACTGTGTGACAGAGTGTTGGACTGGATAGGCCATTGGTCTGATCCAGCATTGGCTTCTCTTATGTTCTTAAGTCTTCCTAAAATTGTGATATGTTTTCAGCACAGCAGTGGTTCCTTTTAAATATGTAATCAACGTTTATCAGTAAGCACAGGACATAAACATACAAGGTGCATAGGTGATTAAAGCACTAGACAAAAAGAGGGGTTTTTAATGGGGTGAAAGGAAGTATAGGAAATATCAGAGTATCTGTGATTATGAAAGTAATTAATAGTTTTTTATACCGTGCAGACAGATGTACATCAGAGAGTGGCTTTGGGGTAGAAAGAAGAATGCGGAGGTATTTCTGACCTGCTGACCTATCTTGCTACCCCAACACTGTCAAAAGCTTTGATATGTTTACACCACTATGCTGGATGCTCAGGTCTTCAGAGAAGCCTCATAACTTCCCTTACAGAAAAAAACCCCAAATTTTTCTCCCCAGTGTTATCTGGAAAGCAAATTTACAATATGTACCTAGCTGGAACATGGCATATGGAGTAAAAATTCCAAGGCTTAGTATTGTCATTAAAAACTAAAAAAAATGTTTAAGGAAATCAGAGTTGATATGGCATTTAAGAGTAAAGGGGGGCAATATTTTTAAAGGAAAACTACAACCAAAAAGTAGAAAAATACAAGATTCCTGTATTGCCTGGCATGGTGTTTTGCCCAAGCTAAATTCAAGCTTGCATTAGGTTTCAAGCCATTTCCAAGGATTTCAGTGCTTGTGAGAGCAGACAGCTTGCTTTCTTGGCACCTGAGTACATGGAGTTCCAGAACAAGAAACTCTGGAAGATTATATCATAAGCAAACTCTGTTCTAACTTGGATGTTCCCAGGCAGAAGAGAATTCCCCTGGATCAGGGAAGAGATCTTATTTTGTACCTTCTACGGGGCTGAAAGAGTGCCTAATCAAGATTGGCAGAAAAGTCTTCTTGGCTGATGAAAGGATTGCAAAAGTAGCCAGTGAGAGAGAGACAGAAATGAAAACAATATGAAGAATAATTTCCCCTATGAGAGGAGGGGCTGAAAAACCGGCAATGCAGAGAAGAGTAGGCAATTTTAAGATCTCATCTTAGGGGGGGAAACTGTATGTCTTGTTGACTACTTTGATTTGTGGGTCAGACTTTCGCGACTGTTTTCTCAGTATCTGCTGGCTTCCACTGCTGCCTTTCCTGGGAAGCAGGGCTATAGCAGATAACAAGCCATACGATGCTATGCTATAGTGAGTGAATGGCTTGTCTTGGTTAGTTTTCTGAAGGTGACTCAACCAGACCAATCTCCCACTAAAAAACCCTTTCTGCCTCTCCCCATACACATTTCATTGTTACACATGTGCATGTGTTATGAATGCTCAAGTTCCAGCAAGGCAGCCTGTTTCGCACAGATATTCAGAGGTGCATTCTAGTTACACAGCCATGTGAGGTTCTCTATGCCTGCATGAGATCTTAAAATTGCCTACTCTTCTCTGCATTGCCGGTTTTTCAGCCCCTCCTCTCATAGGGGAAATTATTCTTCATATTGTTTTCATTTCTGTCTCTCTCTCACTGGCTACTTTTGCAATCCTTTCATCAGCCAAGAAGACTTTTCTGCCAATCTTGCAAGAAAATATGCAACTGTATTTGACCATAATTGCAGCCACTGGCAAAGTCTGGTAATAGCATGTGTAAGAAGGCCTCTGATTAAAATGTGGTTTGATTGGCCAGCTGATGCCTTAAAGTACCTTCTCAGAAGTGCCAAATGGACTTAGAACAGTCATTTTATCAACATGTCTGATGGAATTTTAAGACTGGAGGTGACTGCAAGCCAAATAATAACAGAAAAGTAAAAGACGTTCACTGAATCATCTGGGCTTGCCATATACTAACCTTGCACAAAGCTTGGGGAGAGAAGCACAGTATCTTTAGGGGATAAATTTTTTTAAAAGAGCCAAAAAGGGGGCTTGCAGCAGGGGAAGGACTCTGCAAAAGCTTCTTGCCATAGGAAGTTCCACAGTACTTGAAGTGTTCCATTTATTTTAGTGTAACATACTTTCACATATATTGTGTAAGAGAGGACTGAACTGAATTTCAAGCAAATCTATTTTGCAAGGTGTTGATTACAAAGTAAGACAAATAAAATTAATTTGTGGTCTCTGAGGATTTGTTTCTATATATCATTGCTTGCTTGCCAATTTTTCTTAGTATAACATTTATCCCTGGGAAATAAAGAAGGTTCCAGTTTGGTGTAGTGGTTAAGAGTGGCAGACTCTAATCTGAAGAACCAGGTTTGATTTTCCCACTCCTTCATATGCAGCTGCTGGTGTGACATTGGGTCAGTCACAAGTTATCTCAGAGCTGTTCTCTCAAGAACTGTTCTTTCAGAGCTCTCAGCCTCACCTACCTCACAGGGTGTCTGTTGTGGGAGGAGGAAAGGAAGGAGATTGTAAGCCACTCTGAGTGAAGGGCCGGGTATAAATCCAACTCTTCTTCTTCTTCTTCTCTTCCCCCCCCCCCAGCATAGTAATGCTGGTTTAAGGTATATATGCTTGTTTGTGTTCTTCTGCAGTGTTTTGCTATGATTGCTCATTTGGTCCCCATCTATCACCTTGTATCCTTGAGAATCTGAGTTCATACTGGATGCTGTTTTCTATTCATTTGCACCTCTAAAACCTGATTCAAAATCTACTAACCCTCATCTCCACCACCAAATTCCCTGTTTTACCCTTTCATATGCATTTGAACAGACACATACAGCATCCTGCTTCAAAACATTCTTGTTATTTTAAGGCAGTGACTTTCTCCTTGGGCTCCCCCCCCCACCTCACCACACTGAGTTGCTTCCATGCAATGACACGGTCTTCCTTTCACTTGTTGACACCTAGAGATTCAGCATAAAACCCTCTACTGTTTTTCCCCTTTAATGTCCATGTGTATGCTGTTCTCCTGGCCTCAGAATATTAACACAGCCTTTTCAAGCAAACTGTCTGAGACTGTAACTATCTGCAATTCACAGAGCACAAATCTGCCATAAAACAAATCAAACTGGGATCCCACCACAGCAGCGAGCTTTACATATCTGTCTGGGGCAATTAGCTGTGCTTTTAAAAGATTGCTTTCCTGCTGTGTAAGGGTAGAATGCTATGCTATAAAGTCAGTCAATTTCCCAGGGAGGTAGCGGGAATAATTTTCGACAATGTTTAACATCCACCACTGTTTCTACAGCCTGATAGGCAAGGTCGAATCCCTTCTGCCACTAATGTGACCGAACAATGCCAGTGTGTGCTGGGGAAGTGAACTAGAAATAATGGGTATGTCTGAAGACTCTTGGATACGTAGGTTCCATTCCTCACCCTCCCTGATTGTATTGTTTAGCAAGCTAAGTCTTTGGTTTGGTTCTAATGCTAATAAGAAAGAAATACAAACAGGAATAAGAAGACAGTTTGAAAATCCACCTCCCAAGCAGCCCATCACGTCAACATTAAGCAAGTCCCAAGCATCCCCGCTCTGAAGAGCAAAACAGACACGCACATGAATTGTGTGTTAACAGAAGCTCAACTGTGGCTTCTCATTGAGTGCTTAGCTCTTTTGTGTTTTGTTCAACAGGAAATCTTGGTTCCCAGTAAGGCTGGGGGGAATATTCACCCCAATCTGATTTGCCATGACTCTGTGGCACTTGAATAGCATTTGTTTCCACAAAATGGAAGAATACTACAAGGAGCCCCCTGAAGATGCTGTTCAAAGTACTTCAAAAATGTTTCAAGGAATTTGGTGTCGAGCATTTTAACCAAGTAAACAACTGCATCCATATAATGCTTTAGGGAAATCAAATAGCTTCATTTTTTAGAAAAATTGTCTTTATAGTCTTAAAGTGTATTCCTCATTAAGGTCCTCTTCAGAAATCTGAAGTGTTACAAGATAATCTTTGCCCTTTTGTATTTTTGTAAAGGCAGTAAGAATGAGCTTCTCGACAGATATTTTCAAGTCTTGGTTGGTAGGTAATTGCTATGTTTTATATATATGATGAACTAATTCAATGGAACAAGTGATCCTTTGACAATACCAAGTGCCTTGAAAATGCCAGTTTGCCTTTCTGCACATTAGTTAATAAACAAATGCATCCAAAATGTTTAGATTTGTTTGGGTAAAATAGCTTCTGTATACTTAATTGCTGCTTTCCCAGATCGTTCAAACTGGTAAACAATAAATGGTCACATTACATTACCTACCTAATTGGATATGTGTGGAATATGGCAATATTGTGTGAAGATGGCAATATTCTTATTTTCACCCATTGTGTGAAGATGGCAATATTCTTATTTTGCAAGGTATCCATATATTGGGAATCCACTGTCAATCATACCTTCTCAATGCATGCCATCTTTACAGATGCATTTGTACATGCTTTTATCACCTGGTTTTTCCCTCATGTAAGAAAAAAAAATGTATCAAGTGACCTTAAGAAAGTGATTGGAGGTTTTTAAAGCAACAGAAATTCAGGCTTTGGGGGAATGTAGCAGTAACTAATTGCACTTTTTGGCCTACTAGAAATGTTAACTACTACCATATCTGAATTAATGGAAATAGTGGGACAGGCTATCATCCTGAGGCATAGGAATCATCCTGAGGCATCCTGGTGCTATGTAATTATTTTCTGCTTTACTGGTGATAAAGAAGCCTGATGCTGTTCTAGGGAAGCTTTTATTTTTAAACAGCAAGTGCAGGATTAAAAGGCACCCACTGATTTAAAAAATCCTATGTACACTCCCTTTTTGCAAGTCAATATTCTCTATTTTTTATCATACAGGGGATGATTCTTCGGTCAGTTATGCCATCCTCAAAGACAGTAGTTTTCATAGGTCCTGCAGGCAAACAATGGTGTATAATAGCACTGGGCTT